TATACATGTCAAATACAAAAAAAAATCTAAAATTCTCATTCAATATTTGAAATGCTTTGGCTTGAAATATCTCAAATAAACATGATACATGTCATTACAAAAAGGATAAAGTGCATGAACCTCTTTCTAAGTATTTCAAATACTGTACATTGTAGTAATTCACATTGAATTCATGTACAGTATTCATTTTCTTGAGTATTTTAAGCACATGGGAATTACTGATGCGGTTCATTCAAAATACTCGTATATTGTAGTTATTAGACATTTTAGAGAACTCTCCTTCTTTGTTTTATTTATATTTGGCTGCTAAATGTACAGCACAACGTATTTTGGCCTGTTTATGTTCAACTTTAAGCAGTTCAAATGGATGGAAATGTTTTTTTTGCAAATAAAATACATGCACGTTTTCTCTGTACCCTCTTATTATTCATGTGAGCAAGTGGAAGGTTTTGCATTGGCCAAGTCAATTTCCAGACTTGAACCCAGTAGAGCACAGGTCTCAAACTCAAGGCTCGTGGGGCCAGAGCTGGCCCGCCACATCATTTGATGTGGTCCCTGAAAGCAAATCATGTGTGCCCGCTGCCATGATCATTGCTGAAATCTGTACCAAAATTGCTTATCAGTGCTTTCTTATGTAAATTTGTCAAGCCAAACAACGGTGGCAGGTTACCATTTCTTTGTAAAAAAAAAAAAACGTGTGAAAAAGATTACATTATAATCCGCATCTTTTTAACGGCCCTACTGTGACCTCTCGTCAAGGTCACTCTAATGACTGAGTGTGGTGCAATTCAACCCAACACAATACAATGAATCTGCGACCTTGTCCCAACTAAATGACCCTGAATTAGGCAATATTGTCACAAAATAATACATAATTTAGTTTAAAATCAAATGATTTTGAGCCAATAATAACAATGAAGGCCGGCCAGTGCTGCATTTTCCATGGTAATGATTACAAATGTGGCTCCACAGTTGAGTGAATGCGGGTTCCGTTTTCTTCTATTTGGTGGCACTTAAGTCAAGCAGCTTAATATTTAACACAAGCTGCGCGGCAGCGTGCAGCCAAATTTAATGATCACATTGCAACAGCTGAGAAATTGTTTTTTAAGATCAAGCAGGCGAGGGTGAAAGTTCAAAGAAAGGACGCATGATACCATTTTGACTTTAGGAGTCCAAAAAAAAAAAAATCCTTGATTCAATGATGCATTTGGCCATTGAGGCAAAGAATCGTCGATAAATGTCGAAAGATATATTTTGATAACATCCATTTGAAAGATGATGTCTTTCAGGAGACAAAGAAAAAAAGGGAGCACTACCTTAATGCGAACAGACTGTACAGCATCCTGATCCTTGGCTTTGGTCACATTCACCAGACTGTACACTTTCTTCATGCTTTCACCTTGGCGGACCTCAGTGCACACTGCTGTATTAAGCATTAAGCATGAGGTGACGCCACAAGTTCACAGAGCAACCAGACACGCCTCGCAAAAGCACAGGCTACGCTCAAAGCAGTCTTTGTATGAGGATAATCAAAAAAAAAAAAATTGAGGCTCGGTGTAAATTTACACACAATGGAAGAAAGAATGTCATGTCGTGATTCCCTCCCTGGGAACACAGTCCAATTTCAGTCGCAATGGGTAATAATTGGCAATATTGGTATATGGAGTATTACAAGTCACATAGTGTTGAAAAGGTACATTTACACACACACACACTCTAAATTGTCCCTATATATATATATATATGTATATATACACACACACACACACACACACACACACACACTGTATAACAGTATTTAGAGGTACAGTATGTATTTATCCTTTGAAAAATAATATATTACTGCATCTAACTGAGAAAGGTATAAAATGTTCTTCTGTGTGTCTGTCTGTATTATCATGCCCCAGTTGGTCAAGGTGCACACTCAAACAGAAGTAACAAATGTCCACTGCATTATAGGAAAAAAGTGGCAACATTTTTTTTTTTTTTTACATTCTGTTTACTCCTCCACTATACGCCCTTTCTACTACTTCTGCTGCGTGATCCTCGTGGATTTTTGCACCACTGCTACCCGATGGCCATTTTTTTGCTATTTAACATTGCCGTCAAGCCTAATCCTTTGGTGAGAAGTTGCATCAGACTCTCTTGCACCCTCCCCCATGAAAAAACGTGATTGACGTATTAATACGTCATTGGGAGGGAACGGCTATGCGCTAATTGACGTATTTATACGTCAAAGGGTGTAAATGAGTTAATATGAAGTCCAATAGTTTCAGATTCAAACACTTTATTGACCCTCTAAAAGGGAACTTCCAAAACCACACAAGAAAAAATAAACATTAATCGAGGTCAATATTATAGAGTACTATTTTCTTATTTACTCTTTGAGCGCCATTGATGGTGTAATTGTACGCTCGCCTGACTTGTGTGTGGGCAGCGTAGGATCGGTTTTCAGTGACGGTGTGAATGTGCGTGTGAATGGTTGTTTGTTTCAATGTGTGCCCTGCAACTGACCGGCGACCAGTTCAAAGTGTAGTTCGCCTTTTGCCCGAACTCAGCTGAGATAGGCTCCAGCCTCTTGCGTAACCCTGTTCATGATGAGAGCATGGAAATGTCAGGAAGACACTTGCGTACTTTGTGTTAATATCATAAAATTATTTCGGTGCACCCACTGAAGTGTCCTGTCTATGTGGTGTCTCCTGGTGCCTGGTCAAACATTCACTCAGGTGTACAGGTTAAAACATAAAATATTGACTCGCTTAAATGCAGACTCACACTTCTTGCCCATCTTCCAAGTTGCACCCCAAAACTCAAAACCTAAGAAGCATATACAAGTGTGTCGCTGTCAGCGGTGACAAAATACTCACACTCTATACTGAAATAGAAGCGCAGATACTTGTGTAAAAATAGTCTGATAAAAGTATTTGTTCAAGTCCTGTATTGAAGTGAAATTATAAAGTACAGACTCTGAAATGTACAAAAGTAAAAAAAATGTATGAACATGAAAATGGCTTGAAGAAGGTGGGTTGGCTAGTTAGTCTGCATATGAGCTTCTGTGCGTGAATTGTGGCCTGCAGCAACTCCTTGAAAGTGTTCTTATTTTGTATTTGTGTGTTTGATTTGTCATATTCAATCAATAGCAACTTTGGCTTTCCTTGCCTTTACACCAAGGGATTACATTTCCTTAAGTGCTCTATTTGTTTTTTTACTGTACATGATTGACAGCATTTCTGATGCTCGCTTGTTACTCAAATATTGTCTCACGACATAAAAAGAAAAAAATCAAACAAGTAACACCCCGTAACTCAGAAAACTCATAAGTCAGTGCACTCCTAAATCAAAGCATCATTGAGCTTTTGTGTAATCTATACAATTAGTCCCATTCAGTTGGACTGCCTGTAAATAGCAGCAGGTCTTGGATTTACAGAGCACATCTCCAATCAATGACAAGGGGCTCTTGTAATGAGCTTTGTGGTACACCTAAAGAAAGACATAGCGGTTGGCTCGGCTCGAACACAGAAAAACTCAAAAACAAAATAAGGCTCAAATCCAACAAAACTTGTAAAGTAGGATACTAAATTTGATGACTTAATTACTTCCCACCACTGGTCACCGTCTGTACTCACCATATCAGTCTTCAGTGCCTCGGTGACGACTTCCCCCGTTCCAGCCTCCTCTCCCTCTCTTCCCTGACCCGGATGGGGGGCCCACCTGCTCTCGGCCGCCTTCAGCATCTGCAGCAGGTTGGGGCCCCTCTTGATCGCCTGCTCCTCTGCGGCGCCTACGCATCCGTCCCGCTCGTCCTCTGTTTCTGCTGCTTGAGGACAGTGGCCTGAGCTCGACAAGTGCAGCGTCGCTCCGGAGACTCCCATCAGCTGCTTTTCCTCAGCCATGGGACTCCACTTTGCAAGTAAAGCACTTCTTGCTCAAGTGGATGTAACAGTGCTCTAGTGCGTGCACATAAGGGCTGTTTTGACTCCAAACAACAGCATTTGTTTCAACGTAAAGTGGCCGCAAATTAGTCCTGGTGGCAGTGTGTACACGCTAAACATCGCTTGTTGGCACGCAGAGAAATAAATACCCAATGCAAATTGTGGCACATATGAACAGGGGTGGGAAGTAATAAATACTTTGTAACTTGCGTAATCTTTTTTCCTATATATGTACTTTACTTGGGGTACCAGGTGGTGACCTTTTCCAACAGGCAGAGGGAGCTAGCTGCAGCAGTCGCTAGTTGATGCTGAGACAGTGGAGCATGTTGAGGAACACAAATACTTGGGCACAACTTTTGATAGTCTGCTGAAATTCTCCTCTAACACGGACGAGATCCTGGTTTCATTCTGTCAGCCTTAAGGACAGAAACCACCGACAGAAAATCGTGGCTCTCTGCTCTAAAATAACTGGTACTCCTCCAGGAACTCTGTTGACTGTTCATGAACATCTGACACGCAGGCTAGCAGTTCCGCAATGCTCAAGACCCCTCACATGCTTTGTTTACAAAGTTTGAATGGCTGCCTTCAGGACGCCGACTTTGTTGCCCCACCTGCAGAACTCAAAGAAGAAAGGTCATTTTAGTGCTGAAAGCTGTGCTGCTCCTCGGTTCGTGAATTTCATCAAACATTTCTGTCTATCCTTGAATATATTCGCACACACATTTTCAATTCACACTAATCTGCACCTGCCTTAGTACTTTAACATTAGCCTTGTTTATGTGCAGATATTGATCGTATTCCTTTATTGTTTTTGGTTTTAAATTGCAGCTCTACATGCATTTAATCAACTCACGCCAAGGACAAATAAAGTTTTCTGATTTTGAATTTGAATACCTCGATTTATGTGATGTGTTGTCAACATCACACAGAACAAAGTCTAATGAGCTAAAGAACATACAGTAGATTGCTCTTGTTAGCACAGTAAGGAGGTCCGGGTCTGAACAGTTGGGCATATAGGCCCTCTATGATGCCTTGCAAAATTAAAAGTGGTGCTTGAACAACACGAGATGTGATGTGACAACTTTAATTGTTTCCTTCCTTAATAGAGTCACAGTGGTTTAGGATAATCTTATACGATGTATTTCCTTTAGCGTTTGTGCAACATGTCTTTTTTCATGCATGTGTTTGTGTATGAGCTCACACACACGTGGATCATTTTAGACAAGACCGCAACGGATACATTTCCACTGGGGTTATTGTTAATAATATAAATGACCTCAAATGACCGAAGTAGCTGTGATTTGAGAATCAATTTTGGAGCACAAATACCTGCTATCGAGGGAATCAATGTTACAGAATCGATCCACACATCACTGACAGTTAGCCAAATTATTATTTGCCTTTAAATTGAGAAGCGTTGTTCCTCCAGTGTAGTTTTACGCATGTCCGAATGAATGAATGCATCATCAGCAAACGCTGGGTACCTCTCAACTGTGGTTAACTTTTGTACCACTAGAGGGCGTAAGTGTCCCATCGTGTCCGAAGGACTTCCCACAGAAAACAAACACGCCGTCCTTTGAATTGAGAGCTAGTTCGAGGCATTACAGAAAAAACCTTTGCTCTTCCGCTCCCTCTCATTGCTATAAATCACAGAAAGTGCTCCAGCCATTTATTCAGTTTATTTAAATATACCACAACATTTATTTTCATGCCATGATTTATTGTTCATGTTTTAGGTCAACATCAAGTCAGGGAGGGAGAGAGCGCAATAAAGGTATTAATAAATATCATATTTAGACTAGTTTCACTACCTGCGCTCAACAAAGAGCGAGCATGAACACAGTTGCACAGACACACGATTCAACATTACACTAACACAATGTGTCCTAATAGTTTATGGTCATTGTCATACACTTGACACATGATGAGTACCACTTTACACTGTGTCGTTTGTTTTAAAACAGGGTAAACACATCATGACAATCAGGATGAAACTCACCTCATCTATTTCTACTTCACATTTTGCACCCAAATTCTATCTATCTATCTATCTATCTATCTATCTATCTATCTATCTATCTATCTATCTATCTATCTATCTATCTATCTATCTATCTATCTATCTATCTATCTGTCTATCTATCCATCTATCTATATACAGATATTTGTAATATACAGTCATGTACGAATTTAGAGTTGCACACCTTCATTATAGTACTGTGTTGTGCCAAATCATGCTAGGGAGCACTGAGATCTACTGGAAATTATACAATGAAGAGCAACAAGGAGAGGCAGTGAAGGTCCCCAAATATCTCCGGCAATAGTAATTGTTCTTCCAGAGTAAGTGCTTCTTTATGTATTTATTTTTTAACTTCATTAGAGCAGCAGGACATACCTCTATTTTGTCTCTAAACTCTCAACACAAAAGCAAAAAAAAAAAAAAATGACCAAGCAACAGCTCGTACGTTGGGACACTTGTAAGTCACGATACCATTGTACTTGTGTTTAATCCATATGAGTGATCACCTTCAGTTGGACTGCCTACAAATAGCAGATTGTTTCTTAACATCTCCATTCAATGACAGGAGGCCCTGGTAATGAGCCCTGTGGCAAACTTAAAGACTTTGGGTGGAGAGGCTCAAATCTGGTCATACTAAAAAAAATGTATTAGGCTCTGACCTGGCAAAAAATTGAAAGTTGGGGCACTTCTAAGTCAAAGTTCCATTGTACATTGAAAGACATGCTGACATTTCGACATTTAGTTTACATTTGGTCCTCTGAGTCTGCGTCGAGAGCAGCCTCACCGCATTGCTCGTATGTTCTTGTACTGGCACAGTAACAGATGCTTGAAGGTGTTTTTGAAGGTGGTGTTACAAAGGGCATAGCACGCCGGGTTGATGGTGCTGTTGATGTAACACAGCCAGTAGCCAATGGTCCACAGGGTGTTGGGGATGCAGATGGAACAGAAGGTGTTGATCAGCACCATCACGTTATACGGCGTCCACGTCACCACGAAAGCCACCAGGATGGCCATGATGGTGCGCGTCACCTTCTTCTCCCTCGAAGATGTGCTTTTCTTGCGCCACTTGGCCACTGCGCTCTGCTTTGTCACCTGGAGGGAAATAGATGGCGTCACATCAGTGGTCGCAACTTGCGAGGCTTTCTCTGCTGGCCTAAATGCATTGAGAAAGACTGACCGACATTTTGTCACTGTCGGAATGCTTGCATCATTAAAATCTTTCAGGGAAACCAAAAAACACCAGCCATCCACAGCAAAGTCCGTGTTCACGCCATCCCAGCCGATCAGATAAAAGGCCTTCAAAATTTCACAAATGTGAAGGACTGTGGTTACATCATATCATTGTGATGCCTTTGAAGCATTTTGTTACGCACAAAAAAGATTTTGCAGTGGTTGGGTCAAGTACTTGGTTAGGTTTTCGCATCAGAGCAGCATATGTGTCAGCTTGGTACTGGTCAGGTTGAGCCAACAAGGAATAGGCTGTGAAGAGCAATAACCATCTCCTCAGGCTGCTTTATATCTCATATTCATTTAGAGAAGAAATTTCAGATAGGGGTGTAAAATTGGGAGCTGTGGAATGTCTCGGTTTGTTTGGTTGCCATACAATTTGATTGCTCAAGGTGTCATAATGCTACTGGCATCGTTTTCGTCACTGTTTATGCAACCTGCAGAAACCAGTTGATATTTTGCACGCTCATTAGCTCAGTCCAACGATGCTATTCCAAGCCATCCTAAAATTCTAGTGATATTTTGATTCATAAAACAAACGTCAACACTGCAACAGATGGAGAGGTAGTCTTGTTCGGTGCCGAGTCCTACAGATGTATAGGGAAAAAAAGATCAGCATCGTCTAAATCCCCACCGTCGACGTTTGCATTGATCCATGATATAACAGTCGGACCTTGGACCAGTCCATGACGAAAGAAGGTTTCATAGCAGCAGGTTTCATTATGTCTAAGTCCCCAGTATTTAAATTGATTATTTAAGTCTGACTCGAGACAAGTCATATGACTCAAGTTTCTTTTTACATACCATTACCTTGGAGCCCAGTGGTTAGTCTGACAGCAGTTGTATCCAAACTTTCGATACCGAGGTTTGCATAAAGAGTAACTGATACATCTAATAGTCACTTGGCCCTGTATCCCGCTTGGCCAGATCTGCTCTTGCACTAAGTGGCAGAGGAACCACATCTCCACATTCAACAATCAATACAAGAGCAATCTGTGCTAAACTGACTTTGACACGGAGCAGAAAATGGAGCAGGCAATTGGTATTCATGCTAGTTGCTGCTGAAACTGAATTACCTTTATTCGCACAGGTATTATGAATCGAATCATTTATCTACATTTTTTGCAAATTGAGAAAAGCTCTATCTAAACCAATTCTTCATCAGTGGCAGTAGTAGTAGAAGTAGTAGTCACGCCGCAGTTCGCCAAGCCACGTCTTCACAAATGTTGTGTGATTAGTGTAAAACAAGGAAGTGAAAGATAAGAAAAGACTCCTTCTTCTTCTTTCCTTCTCTTGCCTTTCCACCCGGAGTTGAATGAAAGTAGAACAATATGGGCAAGCTAAAAAGACAATTGTTAATTTTATGTCATGACTCCAACAGCTACAATCATGGACAGCAGGCTACCTGGCTGTAATTTGGACACCTCTGTACGATGTTCATTATACTGTGAGTGAGAGGAATTGTCTATTCTGACACAATGGAGTAAAGGTGTTTACCTTAAGCATTGTTCTTGTGGCTTGACAGTCCGTCAAGGACGTTGCTCTGGAAGCTGGTTCTCTTTGGTTCATCCTTCTTATGGCATTCAGTCCCTTCAGCACCGAAACGGGGACCTCGTTCTCCGTAGACGTGGAGGGTTGGACACTGTCCGCCTCCGGTTCCACTTGCTCGGGTTTGTCTTCCTTGTAAGGAGCGGATCCGTTCCACTGCTGCGGTGCTTCCTTCTCCGTGCTCTGCACAGCCTCCCTGAGCTGCTCCCTCATCTTCTGAATGCAACTGTTCAGGATCTGATTCTCACCTGCGTCCTCCTGACTGTGAGAGTGAGCTTCTCCGACACTGGTGCCGGATGTCTTCCTGCTGTCCCTCTGCATTCGGCTACGGCTGGCCCTGGAGATGCGCCAATAAAGGTAGATCATGATGGCCACGGGTAGGTAGAAGGCCGCGATGGCCGTGCCGAATGTAACCGCTGGGTTGGAGAAGAACTGGATGTAGCACTCGCCAGGCGGCACGGTTCGCCCGCCCACAATAAACTGCCAGAACAAAATAGCCGGCGCCCACAGGACGAAGGACAGAACCCAGGCGGCGGCGATCATCAGACCGGCCATTTTAGTGCTACGGCGCGCCGGGTAGCTCAGAGGCTTGGTGACGCAGAAGTAACGGTCGAAGCTGATGATCAGGAGGTTCATGACTGAGGCGTTGCTGACCACATAGTCCACAGCCAGCCACAGGTCACACACAACCGCTCCCAAGGGCCAGTAGCCAATCACGATGTAGACGGTGTACAGGTTCATGGAGCCGACGCCAATAATGAGGTCCGCACATGCCAGACTGAACAGGAAGTAGTTGTTGACGGTCTGCAGGTTCCTGTTTACCTTTGGAGAAACCACATGGAGCAGGCTGTCAGATGCTAATCTTTTTTGTGTGATTTATGTTTTCTCCGTTCTATTAGATTACATGCCAGAACATTGATTCTCTAATTGCTTCTCCACTGTGGGATACCTTACAAAAGGCTGTGAGTAAAATATGAAATGGAAAAGGAAGCATTTTAATAGTAAAGTAGTAAACACACCGCTCCATGTCCTTTGATCAAGACAAAGCAATTTAGAAAAAATGGTAAATGGCTTGAATCGATTTTCGCCTTCTTCTCGACATCCGTTGTTTGAATATGTGAAGAGTCAGTCAAAAAGATTTGCGGTGAAGTAAATTTCCTTCCGTAGAAGACGGAACACCAGCAGTTATTTACATTTCACAAGGTAGGTTGATTCCAAAACCCTCTGAACTGACCCTCGCAATTTTTTTTTTTAAATTAAAAAAATCTGGTCAGACATCCATGGCTATCATGGCTTGTCCATGGTCGCCTGAAATGGGATTACTGCTGATGCCAGGAACAAAATGTAAACAGTATGAACTTTTTTTCCCACTACTTCAGTCGGCATGCATTCTTTCTCGGTGCTTTGGCTTGCGTTTCCATTTGGACAGTCTTGACTGTGTCATCCCTGACCAGCTTGTCAGTCACTATTCATGCCCACACCAAGCAGATTTTTGTCCAAAAGGCAAGTAGATACGTTACGTTTTACCGACTTGACTTCAATTTTGACTCAAAGCAAGGAACTAACCTTTATAGAGAGCATGACCAGGATGTTTCCAATGACGGTGATCAGACTGAGGGATCCCGCCACCAGAATGATGAGCACAATCTCCACAGTGGTGTAAGGACTGGCCGAGAAGAGGCCAGCTTCACCCCCGCTGCTAGTATTCACAGTATCCATTGCGTCCACTCAGATTTGGTGACAGATGCTTCGGGCAGATACAAAAAACAAAACAAAACAGGTTTCCTTTATTTCACGGCAATGTTGGCACATGTGGCAAAAATATTCACAGTCACACACAGATACCGAAAAAAAACCAAACAAATGCACAAGTACGGATGTAACTACTTGACTTATGAATAAGTCAACTCAAACTGAAGTACAATAACAAAGTATTTGTACTGTATTACACTTCACCACTGAAGGTCACCAATGCAAAATGATGTGGAACACTTGGCAGGTGTTTGACAGCGGTTTCAGCTTACACTGAGAATGTGTGAGCAGTGACCAGGTGAGCAAATAAAGACTTCAGCAGCTGCGTTTGAAAACAGAGAGTGACCGCATATCAGGAATGCAGTATTAGTCAGTACATCATTTCAAGTCTGACTGCCCACAAGATGTAATTATTAAATATAATGGAATTGGACTGATCATATTCTTTTACGCCATCCTTCTCTTGATTTGAAGATGACTGCATTATGATCTGCCTTTCCGAAAAGTCTCCCTTGTGTAAAAGGAAGCTGATATCATAACTAAATCTGCTGTTTGCTCACAGGCGTACCCTGAGGCTCGGACGGGATCGTCGAGACACACTTACAACATCTCGCAGGCTAATTTTTAAGACAGTCTCTTTCATTTTGCGGTCTTAGAGGCATTACATGAGCGGATTCCTGCTTTGAAATCAACATCTTAGAACCGAGAGGGCACATTTTAAGATATTAAATTATGATTAGACTGAGAGAAGGACTTCATAACTGTCTAAAAATAGTCAGAAATCTCATAACAGTGACAAATGAAGGTTTGGTTGTCTGATAATAAATCAGAGTCAATGAATGTTGCAATTCCCTTGGGAAGCTTTTCTATAAACCAGCATCTTAACTGACCTGGAAGTGTAAACCTTGATTGGATATGTCCTGACAGCGGGGATGGGACTGTGTAATGCGGCCAGTCACCTACCAATATACCTCAAAAGGGTTGCATTAAAATTCCCTGCCTCTTGCCTTGGAAGTGCAAAATCCCCTTTGAGTGGATGTAATGCAAGTTTGAGGGCCAATTATATCGTCCTGTACTGTTTGGTAATACAATACTGTCTGGCTCGAGTTTTTAAATGAATTTCAAGCCTTTTTGGTCTATAGTCTTACCTCACTATTTTGTGATTCTCTTCGTGCCTCAACGATGGCGCAGACTTTTAATACTTATGAACATTTAGGTTCCAAATGTTTCAGATATACATATATTTTCATGTTAAAATCATGGCAAAATGTATCTCAGATAAGTTGTCAATGTAGGTCTGGGCTTCTGATCGAGTTTGAAGGCCCTGAATAGCACACTACTGTGAAAGGTGCATTCAGCTTTTGGAGTAACATATGCTGCCATCCAAGCATTGTGGATTTGCCCTTATTGGTGGTGGGTTGAGAAACTGCACCCTACATTGAACAGTAATAAAAAAATAAATAAATAAATCTTTGGAATGGTTTTTATTATAATTTTTTTTTTCATCAGCCTTAAAACTGTCTGCTCCATTTGTTATGTTTCCACAAGGTCCACCCACACGACACATCCAAACACTTGTGATGCTGCTCTATGATGCTTTGGTTAAAAGCATCCTTCCACAAATCTATAATACCCTGCACATTTAAAATGGTAACTACCCCACCTCTAGCCAACCGCACAATGCCCCCCCCCGCAAAAAAAAACAAAAAACAATTAGGCTGACAGAAAACAGCACACTTAAAGCAAAAACAACAATTTCAATGCGAGAGAGGTTGATGTGGTAGCAAATAAAAAAAAAAAAAACAGCTGCCAAATATGCCAAACATAACAATGTGACAAAGCAATATATTTTCATTATAAAATCGATGTAAAGACACTCAAGGGTCCTTGCATGCTGTTCTGAGCCTGTAAGTGGCTCCATTAGGCTACATGATAACATCATACTTTACCTGAAAGACATTTCCTTCCTGCTCTTACAGCCCAAGAAACTTCATTACTACAAAGTACATTGCTAACTCCATCTCTTACTCATCACTGACCTGTTCAAAGTCTTTTCTGTGGCAAGACTACCAACAATTGTGTGTGTGTGTGTGTGTGTGTGTGTGTGTGTGTGTGTGTGTGTGTGTGTGTATTTTATATGGCCTGCATGTATGTTCGATAACTGGGTTTCTGTTTGGGGTTAGATGTCTGGATATCATGTGAACACGTTTTTCAGATTGGACATACTGTATATTTAGCTGGACCAATTTTTCAGAGTTATGGTGCTTTAGGAAGATGGTGGTCTGTGATGTAGCTATGCGGGAGGTTCACCGGCTGGCTCAAGCTTCGGCGAGTCTGCATTTGCGTGCCTAAATGTGACCTATGGCTAACAGTGGCTCCATCTTTAATTGTGGAGATCTGGAATCAACTGGAATCAGGAACAAAAAGATGAATGGGTAGATTTTTTTTTCAAACTGCTGAATAAAGCATTTGCAATAAACAGCTGCAGCTGTTGTGAAAACACAATATAAATAATGTGTTGTATTCGATGAACAAAAGCAAAATGGACATACAGTGGAGTCCTGGATATACGGAGTGCGGCACCCGTGGAATCACCTCTTCATAGATCTTTCCCAACCCCACCCCCCATGACACGTTATAAAATATTTATTTATTTTTATTTTACTTTTTTAAAAATATTAATTATTTAATATTCATGCAGAAAAATGTTAATTAATATAGTCTTTTTTTTTTTTTTTTTTAGTAGGATTGTAAAAGTTACATCGTGTACAATGCATTGTAGCGCAGTCATGCCCAAGAAGTTTGTATATATTGTACACATTCAAATTTTTGAATACACATATTGAATTTTTGGGAGTATGACTGTATTTATTTTATTGGAATCATTTTATGTGGAAAATGCTTATTGATGATCCATTCCCAGTTATTCAAGAATGTTTTGGGTTAAAAAAATTCTAAATCGCTAATCCTGGCTGCATCCGGTCCCTACTTCCCGCGAATGGTGGTGGTGAACTATATGGCATGTTTAATGGTCTGGCTCCACTTCCCCTCAGAGTGATTGACTGTCAAGGAGAGAAACCGCCAGATGATTAAACCCAGCAGATGCAACAGGCAGAAGCAGCAATGTACAATAGACTGGGCCATGGTAGCAGCGTGATTAGTTTGGTTGATAAAAAAAATGCTGGGCCAAGCAGATTGGGATGAAGATTTGATTTGGAGCTGAAGAGTTAAAGCAGGCCATCATTTTTGACAGTACTGTGAATGTTCGGTGAGATTCTTCAAAAATATTGGTGGCTGCTAGAAGGCTCAGTGGGTTACACCGCTGACTTTGGACACCGGCATCCAGTCATTTCAATCAGAGCAGACGACCCACTCATTGAAAACAGGTGGGTTGTGTCAAGAAGGGCATCTGGTGTAAAAATTGTGCCAAACATATGAGCGTGACTTGATGTGGCAAGCCCTGACAGAGTTAAGTTGCTTCTATTTCCTAGAAAATATTGATAATAAATGACTTGAATGATTTTTTCTATCACAGCAACATGGAAACCAATTTCTTGGTAGCTCTAACTCATCAGTATGGGTAGCTTTTACTCTTTGTTGGATCAAAATCTTGGGCAAAATCCTCAATCCAATATGGATGAGTAAAAATAACCCAATATGGTCTCGGTCCTTTTTGGGCTGGGTTAGTTATTTCACCCAAATTGGGTTATTTTTAACCCAGCAGTTTTAAGAGTGTAGATATGGCGAAATGTCAGATTTGGTGTCAGTGTTTAGCAGGGAGATTAAAAGCCAAAACCGGCAGCATGTTTACAGATGTCAGAGCATGTGTCAGTGTGGACCTTACACACAGTACACAGCTTCATCAAAGGACACATTTAATGAGTGGAGGGATCAGAGGGCAGCAAGCTATTTATTTTTTAAATCATGTAGTCTACAAATATAGACCAGCCTAGATCTTGGTCTCTATCATTACAGACATGACCTTGTCTGCAAACCCAAGTGACAAATAAACCAAACGAACATATTAGATATTTGTTTCAAACTCGACCAAATGTGATCGATCACATCATCTTTTGCCGCCCACAAAAGCCAAGTGTGACTTCTTCTGGGCTCAAGCAGCAACGTTCTGGATGCACTGCGGCTGTCTTATACTGTAGCTCAGTTATGGAGCCCAGTGAGCAAGCTGTTGCATTAACCTAACTTGCAGGAGGTAAGCGCATGGATTAGTCTTTCTGAGTCAGGTTTAGGACGTGCTAACCAGTTCACCAAGCTGGAAAACCATTGTTTTTCATCCACATAATACTGATTGAGTCATGTACACATTCAACAACAGCGGGCCGAAGATTTACCCCTCACAGGGCTCGAGCACTAGCCCTTGATGACGTCCTCTGATTGGTTGGTCAGAGCAAAACTTTTGTTACAACTAACATGGGCTCCAAAACACATCTGTAGCGATCCGCACGCACAAATACATTTAATACAAATAATCAGCATCCATGGTGACTATGATGCATATTGGTGACATTTTTGTCATTGTACTTGATAAATATTGATTCTACGCCGCCCCCCTCACTATTACTTGAGAAATTAGCAACGTTTGTTTGTGATCGCAATTTCGAGCTCTGTGTGACGTCCCTGCTCTGAGAAGTGGGAAATTTCACATCTGCCTGAGTTGTGTCCTCACACAAGATGGCGATGGTGGTGGGAGAGTGGGATGTATGGAAGTGTATCTGGGTGTGCGTATGTGGGGTGTGTGGGGGCAGGGGCGGGTGGGGTTGTTGTCGGTGGGGTTGTAACAGAGCCTAAGTCAAAATAGTGGACATTGTTCCGAATGAAACCAAGTCAGCAAAAGGATAGGCAGCTGCAGCAGCAAACCAGGAGTAGTGATTAAGAGCCATAACTTTATTTCAGCCATCTAATTTTCTGCATGCAAGTCAGGGGATTCCTCGGATGCACTCGGACGCACAGGGATGGGGAAGCCGCTGTTGGGAATCCTTTGTGCTCAGTCTCAAAAGATTAAAACAGTATTGTATCTGTGTTGGAAATCATTCATCATTCCGTATTTCTGAATCACTGTACAGTAGATTTTATGTCGTGGACCATCACCATACTGTACTACTACAGCCTACTATAGTTCACTCATCAGTCAAATGAAAAATTGTTTGAGACAAATAATTGCATCAGCTGGGGGACCTTCTGTAATAACAATTAAATCAATAAATAAACTATGATACGGCTATATTGTTTTAAATTGAGTGAAGAAAATGAATACAAAGTGCCATATGGCTGTCCGTGTAATGATGTGTTACTCATAGTAACAATATTTTCACACCACAACTCGTGAATTTGCCGCACATCAAACAATAATCCCCCTCATATTTCTGGATTTTTTTTTTTTTTTTTTAAATGTCCTCGGGTTATTCACAGAAAATTCATTCTTCACTGTCTCCTCTGCGGACCCGATCACAACTTCAACCACTTTGAGACCACCAACAGGCCACTGGTGGAACAGCAGGCGACCAACAGAAGAACTATACGACCGTTTGATGTAACAACACAGAAGAGGCACTGCATGAGTTGTAAGTATATTTTTAATATAAATTAGTAGTTTATTTATATAATTCAATTCATCATCATCATCATTATTATTGTGTTTGATCATTATTATGTACAGCACTTTTTTAAGCTGCGGTTATTTTTTTAAGGCGTTCAATAAAAGTTGTGCTGCGTTGCGTAGACAACTTTGCTCTTGTGCCCTGTGCACTATAAAAGTATTGCTTTGGCGCTATCTTGCATCATCTTGATCCAAAGGTACTATTTTAATGTGAGGGGAGGAGCTTCATTTAGTCACCTTATATCACTGTCTAATCGAAATGCACAGATTTGCTGTCATTTTGAAGTATCTTCAGATAATTATAAAGCTTGTATTTGGCGCAGTGTCAATTCCTCGAGATGAGTAACCATCACTACTTTTCAAGATGCATTATGGGTCATATTGAAGGCACAATGTAGAGAGAACCTTTGTCGAGCCAAGGCACCCATTACAAAAATCACACAGCATACCACCAAACAATCTTGTCACATAAGTAGGAACACTGAAATAAGATCTCGTCTCATTTTACTCACTAATTGACTTAACCCTGTGAAATCTGGCCCATTTTAATTAAACACAAAGCTGAAGCCATGACTTATTCTTTTTTTTTTAAACACCGGTTTATTGTATCTACTGCCAACTAATGGAAGAACATTTCTTCTTGTTCTTGTTGTCACTACAGTATACGGTATGTACACCAGTGACAATTAGATGAGTACTGTCATGATATATTTGTCGTGAGTAAATAATTAAAGTGAAATTGGATAATTTCCTGCAGTTCCCCTCATATATACAAAATAATAAGTGAGGCATTAAAATATCACTCCAAGGTGATGCAGAACAGAGGAAGGAGTTCCACCACAGAACCAAACACCACAATTGGTCGCTTAATTGAATTCAACTGGACCCTCGCTTCACACATACAGACTCCCACTAATAATAATGTGATTACTTTTTTGAAAAAGTGCCCTTACCTTCAAAGTTTGTTGCCGAATCTCACCTTACAAATATGCAGTGACGTGGATGAGCACTCTTCATGTGCTCCATGTTACTGTCACCTCTGTGGACAAACTGGAGGCAAGCAGAAAGTAACTGGATGTTGCTCCTCCTCTGACAGCGTGTGCGCGCGCCTGTGTGTGTGTGTGTGTGTGTGTGTGTGTGTGTGTGTGTGTGTGTGTGTGTGTGTGTGTGTGTGTGTGTGTGTGTGTGTGGCTGACAGACAGTTAAGGGAGAGGGGGAGACAGGGAGAGGAATCTACAGGAGCTTTTAGTGTTGTAAGCCTGCAGCCAGAGTGGTAAATTTGAATAAACAAGAGGCGAGACAGGAGGCGAGGGCTGCTTGTTTGAGAGCGAGAGAGCGTGGTGGCCTCTGCTCGCAGCTGTAGGCCTGATGTTTACGTGGCATGGAATCAGAGAAAAATGCTAAAGCACAATTAAAGGCCGAAATGGAAAAGAAGAAACAAAAAAGCAAGAAAGAAACAGGACGGCCCGCTCTGTGATATTCCGTTGCTGCAGGACGTTAACCTTTAAAACTCTGTTGTTTTGACCTTTTCAGTGAACCTGTGACGCAGTGTGCTCCAGCTGGTGGATGACCTTCCTTTGATGGAATTATCACAAAGAAGAATGGCTCCACTTTGTGCAGCAATATTGCCAAATGAAGAGCGTGTTGTTGATTTAAAAAAAAAGAAAAATTGTAATTGAAAAAAAGATTTATCACACCTCCTTCACTGCTCATATTCTCTCTCTCAAATCATAACACTGCTTTCTGAATGATCTGACTGATGCAAAAGTATGACCATGGTCATGAGTAGGACATTTGTCATTGAAAACGAATCATATATGAAGCTTTAAATATGCCATATGCCAAGAGGTTGCTAATACACTCTTGTACTAACGTCATTACCGGTATTGCCCCACTGTTTAGGTCACAGTCGACTGATTAAATGGATGGTTTCTAGGAGACCGGTTAATGCTGTTTTTATTGCCTTAAATAATTGCCTTACTGTGTTGCCCCACTGTATATGGATAATCATTTGATTTATAGAGTTGGATAAACGGTCCAACAAAAATGAAAAAATGAACACTTGGAATGAGCTCTCAACTCATGTCCGGACACTCATGCAGACATAATTGGCCAAAGAGACTCTAACTCCTGACACACCGCTTCAAGGCACACATCCAACACACAAATTCTACGGTCCTTAACAGTATAGTTTATAAAATCAGTTTATTTATTATTCGCATTGTGTATTTTGCTCTTATTACACAACAATATTTTACAATGCTATTTTTCTATATTTAAAACAGAAAAAAAAACATTCGGATGCTGCAATGGACTAATGGTCTTTCAATTCATTTCACTGGGAAAAATTGATTTGATGTATGAGTAAACTGAATTCCAAGCTTGGTCACAGAACGCAAAGGTACTACTTTACAAATACTATTATGACTCATATTTAGTAGATCACGTGCTGAATTTCTGTAGAGGAAAAATACCTTTCAGCTAAGAATCTGCAACATGAAATGCATAATTAATTAGCAGCCATAGTGATGTTTTAATCCTGCTGGCCACGGGCAGCTGTTATGCATGTTAACATCATACAACATCTACAGAGCTCAGTTATATTAGTATCTGCTCACAGGTAGAGAGAAAATAGAAGGCAGTGTTGGCCTATGCATTTGCAGCTTGGTCTGACCTTACTTGATCCACTTCTTAATGGTATTTTGGAACTGGGGGGACAGACACAAAGCTTATATGAAAAAAGAAAAGAAAATTAAACAATATATGGACGGTATAAAAACAGGGGTGATATATTCTTTTTTCCAATCCGAACGAGCCTCATGTCAATAGTTGAAGCAGAATAGCCAAACTGCATCTGGTCTGCACATGCTCTGTCTTGAAGTAAGTGCGTGGTGACGTCATCGTAAACGCACGAAGATGGCAGCTTCTTACCAGACCTCCTCTGGGACGGCAGAACTTGTTTTTGATCAAGATATAGCTTTGTTAAAAGTGTGAAAGCTATCACAGCTACTGTGCTAACAAGACAAAGTAATTCTATCTTGATAAATCAAGGGATGTTTACATCGATCTCCGCGTGTCACACGGTCAATCTAATTAGCAAGCATTTTTTTAAAATTTTTTTTTTTTTACAGAGCAGCGCATGTAAATGGCAGATCGAAAAAGATCACGTCACATGAAAACAGGTGACTGGAAATCTCCATTCGGAATGATTTCAATCACATCGACAAAAAAGAATTTCAAAGGTGGCGTTATTTTGTTGTTGTTGGGTTTTTGGGGTCTGACAAGAAACACAATAGCATTTCTTGGGAGGATGGAACACAATGGCATTTCTGTTCATTTCACTGGAGAAAGATGATTTCAGATGTGAGGTGTTTTGAATTGCGAGTGTGACCAATAGATTATACGTATAAGTCAAGGCACCACTGTGTTAATTTGTGCAAATCACAACATACTTTGTGTTTTTTAGTCCAACATGGCTGTAACCAGTTTTACTCTGACCAACCAATCAGAGCACAAAAAAATGCAGACGTCATCGAGAGACAGCTGGCTGGCCTTGTGTGGATGAATTTGAAATCTGATTGGTTGAAGACACAATCCCCCACGATATAATTTGAGTTACATCAGATTCTGAAGCCCCTCTGCATCAGTTGCATTGTTTGTTAGCGTATGTGTGTGCAAAGGCACATACACGTTGACCTCATGCTCTGAAGGCCAACACATACAACATGCTGGGCTGAATAGGACGTGTGAATAAAAGGATGAGGTGCTCTAGGGCACGGGGATCTATAGTACTTTATAGGATTGCATGGTGTCCTGACTGATAAAAGCCACCACCGCTTTACACATGCATAATGTCTCATCATTTCCTGATCTGTATAGTTTCTTGTGTATTGTGTAAATATATATATACATTTTTTTTGCCTTTCTGCCACTGCCAGAGCAAGAGAAGAATACCGGAAAAACATTGCATGCAAAACACAGAACAAAATCCTCATTTGCTTTGTACCACTCATAAAGAAAAAAACTGCTGCTAACAATGAAGCAAGCTTTTTCCTTTTCGCCATTTGAACTCATGCCCCAAGCCTTTTTTTTTTTTTTTAGGAAAAATCAGGTCATTTAGTTGGAGCAGCTTTCTGAATCTGAATGGATGACGAAGACCGAAACACAATAGCAGCAGCATAGCGCAATACAAAAATCCAGCTGACATGTTTACTGATGCGTACAGAAATCAAAATAAGATGTTGGGGTTTCTGAGACACAGAAGGAGAAACAACTTGGTCTTACATGTTTTCTTTCCCATTTTAGACTCGTGTCAACCCCCTGTTTATAGACATGTACATATATATACATTCCAGAACCACCAGCAATGAAAATTCATGATACAGTTATACATCTCCCACAAACTTTAAATGCATTTAAACTTCCTGAAATGTACATATTTTACTATTAGGGCACACTTATAAAGTATTCGTTAATACCTATACTACAAATCTGCTCGAGTTAATTCAACACCTTGAGTGTTAATTTTAACACCAGCATAATGTTGATATGCATTCATATCCAGTGTTAAAGTAACAGTCATTAAAATGTTAAATGTTTAATACCCAGTTGTGTTACAGCAAACAACGTGTATACAGAAGGACACTGTTGAGTGTTTAGATTAACACTACTGCAAAAAAATTACAAGAATGAAAGATATTGCAAGTTTTCAATTTAAGACACTTTTATTAAATCCATTTCAGACAGCGTATGCAGAACAGCACAAGGGCACTGGTATTGGCAGCTTACAAAGTCTGGGAGGACGACAGTTTCACTGACAATTGACAGGAACAAGCCCCGATTGTCTGGTGTGTTTGTTCACGGGAGTGAATTCAGCAGGGTTGTTTCCATTGCCTATACCTGTATATGGAAACACTCTGTGCTTCCTGTACAGTAGGTGGCAGTATCCACCAAAGAGTTGTAATCTGCCAATTTAACCAAGAATACTAAGTAGGCAAAGAAGAAGAAGAAGAAGAAGAAGACATAAATAGATAGGAGCAGGAGTGCGAGTGACTTGCATAGGATTCTACAATGCGGAGCGTTATTCCTGTTTAGGTAAGACAAACTATAAATTGAAATTTGTTGGTGTTTTAGGAGTAAAAACAGCAGCAGGCAGCCACCAGTGTGCTCTTGCTTAACAGTCCAATGGGTTGGCAAAAAAGCTGTATGTGAAATGTATGTGAGTGTGAGTAAAGCTTTTTGGTAAGGCACTGTATGATGGAGATACACTCATATATTGTGCACTACTGTATATGAAGCATTTTAATCAAATTGAATTTGTCATTAGGTCGTCTATTTTTTTATTTTTTTATTTATTTTTTGACGAACTGACGATAGATAGATGGACTGTCAGACCGGTAAAATTTACTGACGGAAGCAGTGACAGATGCATGGTTAAAATAACATGACGGACTAACCAACTGACAATTACAGTTTGGTTCGACCTGAAAAAAAAATCACGGACTGATGAGTGCCCAGGCCGCTGATGAATGATGAATAATCGACCGGCAAAATTTTTCAAATTGCCCACCTCTGCCCAAAAGTCCTTAGAAGCGCTCGAGAACAGTCTGAATACACCACATACGGCAGGAAAAATGAATATAACTAGAACTTCATTTGGGATCTTCTCTGCCTTATCTTCTCCTGGTTAATTATGGTGCATATCTTATCAAAGCACTTAGTGCTGCCCAATATGTTGTGTCAAAACGTGGTATTACACCCAAGGTGTGCAAATCAAAGTTCTGTAAAAACACATGAAAAAGATGGTTTCAAAAGTGTGCGAATGATGAACCGCAATGTACAGCACCAGAAATGCATTCTCATCACTTGGAATTCATCATTAAAATCGGGGATTTAGTCCAACCGGACTGTCACCAAGCCACACTTGCTTCGTTGTTCCTCAGATTTATGGCACATCAAAAACACAAAATCTGTGACAAAGACTAATGTTCATTTTTCCTAAAGATCTCAATGATCAATCTGGACAGACAAATTTGTTGCTGTACTCCTAACCTGTGACTTAATCCAAAAAGCTAAAGAATGGTACACACATATCAATCGGGTTCGATTAAAAAAAAATTGTCATCTTTTCTGATCG